GAGTTTTCGCATCGGACGCCCAGCTGGGTCTATGCGAGCTAAGCGTGCATCCACTTCGCAATACACAAGTGGATACCTGGCGGACCCAAGATGTATGCGCTGCTCGCACACACAGCGGCCCGGCGCAGCAGTGAGCGGCGTATGCTTGTCGAATGGCACTGGCACCTGAAAGAGGCATGGCGGAGTCCGCGCCAATGGCGACGGAAGTGACGAGTCCGCGTGGTTTTTGATCGCAACGGTCGTGAGAGGTGGGGCAGCGAAAGCATCAACGCACGAGTATCGAAGTCTTGAGCGCCTGATCGTTGATCACCTTCGACTTTCCCGTCTCGTTTCTAAGCTTGCCGAGCGAGGTGTGGAGGCTGGTGCGTCCTTCTATCACGTGACTCGCGTTCTCAGACATGACCATTTCAGCGTTTTGGCTCACGACGTTAGACCAAGTTTTGAATCAAGAATGTTAGTCTTGTATCAAGAAGCTAGACGCCGCCTCGAAACGCCACGGACGATCGAGAAGTGCTAGCCATTCAAGATTGCTCAACATTACATGAGATCGTGGACAAAGTTACGAGAGCACGAGAGGACCAGGCATGTGTACTTCTTTTGATTCTGTAGAGGCCGAGCGAGCGAACGAGCAAGATCTTTGGGCACGATGCATGAGAAAGGAGGATTGGTTGTTTGATGTCTCTACACACGTTTAGGAATTGTGCTTGCAGCAAGAGGACGTGCTCTTCATGTGCTGGTTCAGGAGCAAAAACAGAGCAAAAACATTGCTGCGAAATTGATTGGCAGGCAGATCCACGTTCACGCAGACTCTGATGTCGGGTCTGCAGAGGTTTGCTCGGTGCCCAAAGCGACCTCGTCGAGAGGTACAGCGACGGTAGACCCATCTTGCAAAGTCCGTTCCAATAGTCCTTCCTTATTCACACGCGTCGCCTCTTGGTCTACACCAGGGCCCAGCGGAGCTTGGTCCGAAGCGGCCTGCTGTGCGCCTTCCGAGCCCGCACCCGAGCCAGCAGAAGTCGCGCTTCCCGCTCTCCTCCTGTTGGCAATGGCCAGCTGAGCATCTGCCGCTTCTTTCTGCTCCAGACTAGGCCTGCGCATGTGCGCTGTGCTGACCACGTCCACACCCGGAG